ATTCATCCATCCATGCAGTATGGCTCTGAGGAAGTTGTCCAGCCGCTAGCGCGTGGCTCGGTACAACTCGCCCCTCCAGACGACGTTCGTTCACCGGAGTCAACTCGGCCCTCACAATCGGCTGAGTCATCCGATGACGACGAGGAACCAGACCGATTACAACGGCTGTCTATCTCTGAAACGGAGCTCCGTTTAGTACAGAGGGATATGATACGAGTACTTCATCAACCCTCCGCTGATGAGCCCCCTCCGCCCGATCATAAATCTTTCAAGCGAAGGACGGGCTCCACATCTAGCAGTGATAAAATATTCCCCATACTTCCTTTAGATCAAGTATGCGTGGAACATATCAACAACATCATGTCAACGGATAGATGGCGTCCGTTTCTCAGACGGGAACGAGATTATTTTCGTTTCCCAGCTGAAGATTTTGCGAAGTTTTTCACTCCGCCTACTCTCCCCGACGCAGCAAAAGATAAACTTGCGGCCGATGAGAGTGGTTCGTCTTCCAAGCGACCCTTTGCGGACAAATCACGTTGTAAACTTGAAGACGTTTTGAAGAAGATAGACACAGCTTCACGTTTTGGCTCGCGGTCAACGTCTTTCTTACTTCTTCTTACTGAATATTTAGCCGTGGGCTATGAAGAGGACTCGCCGATTCCAGCGGATATGCTGACTGCGGCCCTTCATTGCCTTGACCATGGTCTACGCTCAGTGCTTGATCAATTCGCACGAGTGTCGGCCCTATCAACGTCCACCCGCCGGGGTAACGTGCTCGATGCACTGTTCCTCCCGTCGCAGGGTGCTCGAAAAAGACTTGAAGATCTCCCCCTGACGGGCACGGATCTATTTGACGGGAAATTCAAAGATCAGATGCGAGATGAGGCCAAACGTCTGAAGGATACGGAGAAAATCAACTTCAAGAAGCCTCCAGCACCGGCGTCCAAACAACAGCGTGGTAAGGGCAAAACATTTGTCATTCCCCGCCGCAAACCTCTGAAATCTGGTCGCGGTGGTTTTCGGGGCCGCACGGACAATTCTTCCGGTGCGCGCGCCACGCAGGCCCGCACGTTCTCTGGACAACAACAGCCCCAATCCGGTCGTGGTTTCCGGGCACCGGCCCCCCGCTATCCCGGGGGCTGGCGCAAGTGACTTAGTAGACTCGTGGCGGCCTCCCGCCATCGGACCCGTGGGAGGCCGTCTCCGAGACTTTGCGGGGTCCTGGGGTTTAATTACGTCCGACCGGTGGGTGCTCGATACGATCGGGTGCGGCTACGCACTCGAGTTCTCGAGCACCCCCCCGTCGGACATGGTCGTTCGACCGACGGTAGTTCCGTCCGATCCTACCAAACGTCTCTCCCTCGAAGGGGAGATCGCCCGCTCCCTCCGGGGGAGACGCGGTCGGGCTTCATGTCGACCTTCTTTCTGGTACCCAAGGAGGAGGCCGGCATGTGGCGCCCGATTTTAAATCTAAAACCCCTCAACAAATTTATTCGGCCAAGACATTTTCGCATGGATACGCTCAACATCATACTCCAATCGATTCGTACACCTGCATGGGGAGCCAGTCTCGATCTGAAAGATGCGTATCTACACATTCCTGTCAGACCAGACCACTGGAAGTTTCTTCGTTTTCAGTACGAGAACGTCCAGTACGAGTTCATGGTTCTTCCGTTTGGTCTAGCCACCTCACCCCGAGTCTTCACGCGTGTGGTGAAGACAATCGGGGCCGCATTAAGAAAACAAGGTGTGATGATCTTCATGTATCTGGACGATTGGATCATTCTTGCTCAATCTCAGACGGCCGCGTCGGCGGCACTCAATCTGACTTGGCATCTAGCGGCGGATCTCGGGTTTATTATCAACGCCGAGAAATCCCATCCACATCCATCCCAATTCCCAATCTTTCTGGGAGCGTCACTCGATCTCCGGAGGGGATTGGTTCGGCCTACGGAGGAACGAATTGTAAATCTCCAACAGTGTGTGTCTCTGTTTCTCCCGACGACCATGGCCCCAGCGCAAGCCTGGCTAAGGTTGCTCGGTCTTATGGCCAGTATGGTAGATGTGGTGAACTTTTGCAGACTAAGGATGCGTCCCATCCAATTACATCTGCTGTCCTTCTATCGGCCCAGTCGTCATCACATACGTCATCTGGTGCCGACCACACCTTGGCTAATACCGCACCTCCGTTGGTGGCTCGACAATGCCAATCTCACGGAGGGGCGCGCTTTTCACAATCCCAGGCCGTCAGTGACCATCACGACAGACGCGTCACTTTTTGGCTGGGGGGCCACCCTCCACCCGCGCCAAGTAGCGGGTCGGTGGGGGCCCAAAGAGTGCTCGAAGCACATAAATGTGCTGGAGATGTTGGCAGTCATCAATGCTCTCCAACGTTTTCAAGCATCAGTGACAAACCAGGTAGTCAACATTCGTTGCGACAATGCCACAGTAGTGGCCTACATCAATCGACAGGGAGGCACGCGATCCGCCCAACTATGCGCGCTCACGTGGAGTCTCTTCCACTGGTGTATGGACCACGGAGTAACACTCGTGGCAACTCATCTCCCACGCTCTCTCCAGGGGGTGGGTCGTTCCGACGGAATGGACACTGCGTCCGCAGGTTGTCCAATCACTTTTTCTGTTGATCGATCGGCCTCATGTCGACCTGTTTGCCTCTCGAAACAACCACCAGTTACCGGTATACTGCGCAAGACACAACGACCCTTGCGCATGGCAGACAGACGCACTGGCAATACGGTGGGACAGACTACTTGCGTACGCCTTTCCCCCGTTCTCCCTCATACCGCGAGTACTGACCAAAGTGGAACAGGAGGAGTGCAAGATCCTCCTCATAGCTCCATTTTGGCCACGCCAGCCTTGGTTCCCGAGACTCATCAAGCTCTTGGTTCACCGCCCGGTGATTCTTCCGAAGAGGGCAGACATACTGTTCCAGCCCAGCTCGGGTTTTCTTCACCCGGCCCCGGAGGATCTCCACCTGACGTGCTGGGTATTATCAAGCAATCCTTCCGCACGGCGGGCCTTTCTGAACGAGCTGCGGCCATTGCAGCCTGCAGCCGGCGGGAGTCTACCAGGAAAATTTATAACAGTAGATTACACCATTTTTACAAATGGTGTAGAGCCAGGTCTCTGCGTCCCTCCGATACTTCTATAGGAGAGATTGCAGACTTCCTAGTAGGCCTCTTTGACAGTGATCTTGCTACAGCCACAGTTAAGAATTATCGTTCGGCTATAGCGGCTATTCATGGAGGTTTCTCTGACGGTTCCTCGGTGTCAGATAATCAGAATCTTAGCCAACTTATCAAGGAGATGTTTGTGTCACGCCCCCCGACACGTAGGCTATTACCATCGTGGGATCTCTTTGCTGTCTTATCAACCTTATCGAGACCCCCGTTTGAACCAATGGGCAGCTCAACCTTGGTGCAGCTGTCGGTTAAAGTGTCATTTCTATTAGCAGTGGCTACGTCTAGAAGACGTAGCGAGCTGCATTCGCTTACGGTGGAGACAGGTCATATCCGGTGGGAACCAGGGGGTGTTCGCCTGGTTCCTAAAACAGGTTTTCTGACCAAAAATCAGTCAGAATCATTTTCACCTCCTGACATTTTTGTGCCGGACATCAAATCCTTTTCGTCTGTCTCTGGTGACAGACTTTGGTGTCCGGTCAGGGCCCTGAAGTGGTACGTTGATAGAACTAAAACGCTCCGAAGCGGCCATTCACAGCTGTTTATAACAACGACTCCACCATACCGACCGGCCTCGCGTGATACAATTTCCCGCTGGTTGGTTACGGCCATCAAATCAGCAATAGACTCACCAACAACAGATTCCGTTGGGTCAGTCCATGCACATGAGGTCAGGGCAGCTTCTACTTCCTGGGCCTTTTTTAAGGGTGTTTCTATTAAAGATATCACACAGGCAGCGTGTTGGAAAACCCCCAACACCTTTACAGAGTGCTATTTGAAGGATGTCCTCCAGACGGAAGGCAGAGCCGGGAGAGTGGTGCTGAAGGCGGCGAGCCGAGCATCATCAGGTCCACAGGATCCTCTCCTACCCGGGGCTTCCCTAGAATAGGTGAGTCTCCTCATCCTGGCTATTTACATTATACATTACATTGTATTGAATATAAATGTATAGCTAAACACTCTTGTAATAAGGTCATTGGTCTTGGACAAGTTACCTTCTTTTTATACAGTTTACCTTGTGCATGGGCTTGGTTTGAAGTGTTTTAGAACTTGCTTTAAGAAGTGTCGTGTACTAACAGTACTCTTCTTTGCAGGATTCAACTGTATTATATATTATATTTATTATTATATAATACTTTACATTATGAGACGTTCCCCCTAACGAGGGCTGACGTCTCGATTAACATGTGAGGGTAATTAATATCCTTTACATGTACAGTTCTTGGTTTTTCCCCTGTCCGCCTTTGGACGGAACAGTGGGAGCCATCTGGGGTTACATTCCATGTTTCATGCCCCTGTGAGTAAGCAATAGCATCTCGCATGGCCCACCTCCTTGACGGTGCTAGTCTATGCATAAGTAGTGTTGCTCTACAGGTAAGTAGAGTGAAGTAGACTCCCCCCCCCACAGAAGTGTGGTTGGGGTCTACGAACGAATACTTACCTGTAGAGCATCCCTCCCTCCTACCCCACTCTTCTCGATGCCTTGGGTACTTTGTTGTATTCCGACTTAACGCTCGAGAAAAGAGGACGCTCACGAGGCACGCATGCCGCGGGGTGTTATGGGTAGGGCGCCGGAGGGCGCTATTGTATATAACTCTTAGCGAAAATACCTGCCGGTAGGGGGAATATGCATAAGTAGTGTTGCTCTACAGGTAAGTATTCGTTCGTAGACCCCAACCACACTTCTGTGGGGGGGGGGGGATTTTGCCACCTTCAATGCAAAGAGAGCTGCAGTGTTCAAAATTGAAATCACTATTATTGCACATTTTTTTTAGTTACCAGGTTTTAATGATGATTATTATTATCATTATTATTACAAGGTTGTTTTAGATCTGGGAACAACAGATTCTGGAGGTTCTGAGACAGATCTTGGTAAGAAAAGCATTATTTATTGATCATTCACTCTGTATTGCAGTTTATAGTCCGGTCAATTTAAGTTCAGACCTAAAACAAATTCCAAAGGAAACATTCAAGCGTCAAACAAATTGAAATAAATACACAAACAGCATGTGCAAAATGTAATTGTTTCTCTGGAGAGGAATGGTGTTTTTCAAGCATTTTTTTGAGATTAAAATTTGGGACGTTTTGTCCTCCAACAATTTGTCTGGTGACTTGCTTCGATTTGCATGCCTATATAACAGTGGCATATCCAGAGGGGGGTGCAGGGGGGCACCTTGCCGGCGGAATTTTTTGTACAAATATTTGTTTTCAGAAATTATTTTCAAAAATGGTTAGAGAGTTTGGACAAAAAAAGAAAACCTGTTAACAAAACATTACAATGCCCCATGAAAATGGGCATGTAATTTGCAGTCTGAATAATAATTGTCAGTTTTGAAGAGCGCCCCCATTTGGAAGATGGGTACCATTCAATGGGTGCCTTTAAAAAATTTCGGTGTTTTTAAATTTCAAAAAAAAATTAGAAAATGTGGGTGGGTTATTGAAATATATTGAAATTTTTGTTAACGAAATTCACTTTTTCAATTACAAAGATAGAAAATAGCCCTTTTGACTTGCCAATTCACCTCTCCGTGTTCTGATTCGTAAACCCTTTGCCTGTACCGTACCGTACGGGTACAGTATGCATCCGGTACATGTACAATGTATCGTGTATTGTGTATATATCCATCGAAGCACCATAAGCATGGGGACCAGTAAAGTTAGACTTAAACATGCGTAAAATCAGTGCGCCGTGCAAATGGAGCGGGATACCAGGTTCATTTTGTCTTAATACACGCCATGAGTGTCCGTTACGAATCGCGACAACAAAATAAACCTAATTGTGTTCAAGACTACTTAGGCAACCTGCATGCAAGCGCATGGTCGTCGTCATCTGGCTTTCCTCGAAACGAGGAGTTGTTCGCTAAGATCTCTCTTCAGGTTCCTTCTTTGGTCCGCATATGGCTGTAGAGCCCCAGATGTGAGCGGATTAGGCGGCCGCCTCTAGGACAGTTCAGCTTAGGTGGTGATCTGGGGATGCTGGCCATGGGCGTCGCCAGGATTTTTTCTAGAGGGGGGCAAAAAAAATTTTTGCCCAAAAATGCGTGTATTTCTCAACACATTCTCGATTTATCAGTTTAAGAGGGGGCAGGGACATTTTGCCCCCCCCCCCCAACTCATTAAATTTACACCACTTTGTCGTCGCGCCTCTTTTTCTTTTCTTTTTTTTTCTTTTTTTTTCTTCCTTTTTTTTTTTTTTTTTTTTTTGCTTTTCCAGGGGGGGGCAAGTGCCCCCCCTTGCCCCCCCCTCGCGACGCCCATGATGCTGGCCCTTTCCTTCAGCTTTCGGAGTTTGTCTTCAAGTGAGGCAATCCTGGACTGTTCGAAGTGCTTAACACCAGCATGGATGTTGCTACGCCAGGAGGAGCGGTTGGCGGCTAGGGTTTCTCAGTTGTTAAGACCACACCGTTTGAGGGTGTTCTTGAATAGATCTTTGAGGCGTTTCCGAGGCCCACCGCGTGGTGGCTTCCCTGACGTCAGCTCGCCATAGAACACTTGCTTTGGGAGGTTGTTATTTTCCATCCTCTGAACATGACCAAGCCGTCTAAGCTGATTGCGAGCTACGATGGCCTCAATGCTTGGGATGTTGCTAAGAGCATGGACTTCAGAATTTGTGACCTTGTCCTGCCAGCTAATACCAAGAATAGCCCTGAGTTTCCGTTGGTGGAATTGTTCAAGTGCACGTATGTGACGTCGGTAGAGAGTCCAACTCTCGCTACCGTACAGGAGGGTCGATACAACAACTGCTTGGTAGACCTGGAGCTTGGTAGAGGGTTTCAGACCATGTTGCCCAAATACTCGATGGTACATACGGCCATATGCACCATGAGTGGCTTGTATTCTGTTACTAACATCATCATCAGCGTTGCCCTTTGAGTTCAGGATACTGCCAAGATAACAGAAACGGGTAACCTGTTCCAGCGGTTGGCCTTGGATGGAGATTTCAAATGGCTCGAGGTCATGTGTAGGGCTAGACAAGACAAAAGTTGTTGTTTTTTACAGCGAGCTGATACTTATTTTTACCGTTTAGAATGGACTCAAGAGTTTTACGTGTTTCCAGGTGGATTCCCTATACGTACGGGAATGCCAGTGGGTCGTCTTGTTGCAAAGGTACTGTATATGGACTGCAGCTGCATTCCGCTGTCACTGAACTGGACATTCGTTATGTATTTTATTGAATGGAAAATCAATATTTTAAGATCGAAAATTTAAAAACATCGAATATTTTGAATGGCCCCTTTTGCCAATGACCTGAATTCATCACAAAATTGGACTCTGGCCTATTGGCGTAGACACTTAGATTTTAACTTTAAATGGATCTCTTTGTGTTTATCATTGCCTGGCCTAGTTTCAAGTAGACTTGTTTATGCAAAGATTTTCCATGAAACAAATGATTTATTGAGCAGAAAGTGATTTATTTTTACTTCTTAATAATTTGGGCATACAAAAATCTCAAATTTCTTGATTTTTTCCAAGAAAATATCCTATAGTATTTGGCGACAGCGTAAATTACCATAAATTGTAATAATTGGTGTCTATAGAAAAGTCGTCGGCTGTGATCAGTCGTGTCTGAAAAATTGATGATGAAAAATTAGTAGCGAAAAAGTGAGTAAAAGCACTTTTCCACTCCTTTGATGAAATTAGATTTTCAGTATGTTAAAAAGTGATATTTCCTTAGCATGATAGCATTAACATAAATTATATTGCTATTTGTTCTAGGTCAGTCCCTGTTTTATTCTAAATTGATCGGATTCTTATATTTGTCAGTTTTTACTTTCCCAGATTTAGTATTTGCAGACCTGCCAACTGGTATGATTCTGCCATATTTCGTATGGGAATTTGTTGAAAATACGACCGTACGATTTCCCCCCATAAAATACGGGTTTTACTCGGGTGTTATGACCAGTAATGTAATGATGGATCAATAATGTAATAGCGACCAGTAATGTAATAAAAATTGATCAGTAATGTAATATCAACTAGTAATGTAATAACTTTTGCCAGTAATGTACTAATTGAAGTGACCAGTAATGTAATAAACATTGACCAGTAATGTAATAACAAAAAAATGACCAGTAATGTAATAGAAAATTGACCAGTAATGTAATAACCATAGAATTCTTACTATTTTGGAAATTTTTGGAGGAACTTTGTATTTTGTGCGAGTAATTTGACTATTAATGTACGAGCAGTTGAAAATGACCGCGTGGGTTGATTACTTATTTGGATTTTGAAAAGTTGGCAGCTATGTAGTAATGTAAAGCGCTTTGATCTTTGTTAAAAACGCTATATAAGAACCTGTTGTTATAATTATTATTATTATTATTATTATTTATTCAACGGTTGTATCTTTATGGTGTGTGCACATCTTTCCGTAGTCCATACAATGAAATAACAGTTGTGATGGTCGTTTTAATAGCAATGATGGCCATTATAAAAATAAATATGGCTGCCAAAACAAGTGGCTTTTTATTATCACTGTTCTTATTGGAGTCCTTGACACAGAAACCATGGATGTACAGTCGCCTACAAATATCAGAGCCCAGGGTATGGGCAGAAAAAAAGTGCTTGGCTGACATTTTTAAATTTTGGCGGCCATTTTGAAATTTTGGCGGCCATTTCGAAATTTAAGATGGCAATCCACTTCCAAACGATCCAAAGGTGTTACCACTATTCTTATTTGATTCCTTGGCCCTGAAAACATGGGTACAGACATCAGAATCATGCCTCTACGGCTCTCAGAGACCAAGATATAGGTAAAAGTAGATTTGCGTGGCGGCCATTTTGAAAAATGGCAGCCAGGCAAAAACATCCCAACAGTTTCCTTGGTAACATGTAGAATCTCATTCAGACGGGTCATCCAAACAAAATGATACCACTCGCGGAGGATCGGGGGGGGGGGGGTGCACGGGGGCCCTCCCAGCCCATGCATGGACTCAAGGACAGTATGGTTTCCGGATTATAACTTCACTCTGGCTGAGGGGTTTCAACAGCAACGCTGTTATTTTTTTCAACATTCTGGTTTCCATCATATAAGTAGGCATTTGTGCTCTACATCAGATGAGAAAAGGTTCTCATAACGCCAAGCCAATTCTGGCTTCTGCAGCTCTTGGCGGAGTAGGCAAATGTTATGAAATCCATGGCCAAGCATCGCAAGTCCTTTCATGCCGACCGCGGTCAACTCATTTGCGACATTTACACTGACATTAACACAGCATTGTCGTTTTCCTTGTAAAGTGATTTCAGTACTGCAGTGTCACAGCATAATGAAGGGAGTTCGATCCCAAACTAAATCAGGATAAGTGTGTTGGAGGCTGCCCCAGATGGAATCACAGGGAATCACCGGTTCAGTTCAATTTCAGCGATTAATAGAGAATTTATTCAATCATCAGTAGAATTAAGTTAATCAGGCATACATCAGCAAAGAGTAGATATCAGCAGAATAACAATGAGTGAATCAGTTGCAGTTAATTGACAGATGTTGATCCCAAAACTCCCCCAGTATATGTGCTGGTATGATGTGTGGATCCCGTAAAAGATGGTACACGAAATAAAGATGAAAAGATCCTCAGGAAAAAGATCAGGCTGGACACACCACCAAGCGTCTCTAAAATATTATTGCACCCTCAACAAAATGCTGTTACGGATTAATTACACCCGTAAATTATACGATATGCTCAAAGGAACTTCCACTTACGCATAATTGTAGTTCTTATACAATCATAAGAAGAAAATGTAGAAGAAAAACTTCTAAAACTATGGACCTACTTGTTTCTAGAGCGAAGGGACATTAAGTTAACAAGTGCCACATTTGCATAGGTCACACGTAAACAACAACATAGGTCAATCTAAATATAACCCTGTATCCGGGGAGCCGGACAGTGGATGGAGGTTACGTGCCCCCACACTTGTTTACATGTTTCTGTATGCCATTAACTATTGTCGTGAGGCAGCAGCCCGCTTTAAAGACCGCAGTCTGAATGATTTTCATTCTCTCATCGAACTTTTTGGTCTGATGTTTCAGTAACTTGTGCACAAGTTCGTCAGTCTCAACTTGGCTGCAAAAGTTCCGCGCAATTCTCAGGGCGCTTTATCTCCCCTGATTTCTTGTGAAACCCTTCATAATCCATGCCTTTCTGAAACATTTTGTTTACCCCATTGGCTAGGGAAGCAGACACAGCTTCACATGTATCATCTTTTGGAGTCATAAACTCCGCGAGATATTCATTGAACTTGCTAACAATTGGATCCACATCGGTGGCAGTGCTGTCCTTATCTTTACCGCTGTCGTCCATGTTGTTTACGTTAGCGATGCTCGCTCACTTTGACCCTTCATCGTCATCGTGCGGCTTCGGTGCCTCCACTGCATATTCCTCCGCAGAGTACTGATTACCGCCATAGTAATCGTCCCATTCGGTATCATGGGCCGGACAAAAATAGTCCGTGTAAGGGAAGGCAGCCGGTTGAGAAATTTCACGTTCGTTCTCCATTTCGAACTTGTTTCATGTCCTTCACCTCTTTTGTCAAATCTGTCATAGTTTTGGCCAGCTGGCTCAAAGTTGCCGATATTTCAGTGTTGCTGGGACTCATTTTTTATGTCCAACTTGATGTGTAGTTAGATGTGGATTCTTTTTGGCCACATTTCCTGTGCTCGACCTGGGAACGACATTGTCTTTTCCTGTTTTTGTCTGGTTCTTTTTTTATGCACCATTGGCTGCACTCTTATCTATATCACCCTTCATCATTGGTGAGTAGGGATTTTCTCAGTTTTACGGCCAAAAAACGTTATATTTCTGGCACTTCTGTGCCCAATATTGCTTGTGGTCTCAGGCAGTTTTTAAATTATAAAAAAGTGTGTATCTTTGGAAAAAATGTGAGTTTCAAACTCATTTCTGGGGCAAAGTCACAGGATTTGGGGTGGGGTGTCCGCAAAGCAATATATGCCCTGGAAACACGAATACGGATAAACTTGGGACCAACTATGTATTTTCTTGTTTACCCATCCTATCAGGATTGTAAAAAGTGCAAACAGTTCACAACGGGACCATTTTTGAGAGAGCAGTGGCCCAAAATATGAGTTTAGCTGTTTCTCAAAAAATTAGCTCCCAAAATATCAGGTTTTTTGAGCTGGAAGGCAAAAATACCAGCTGTGCAACTTAAGAGCATCATTTTCGGATGTCCCAAGGTACCCTACAACAGAAAATAATATTAAGATTAATCATAAAATGTTGCAATTAAATGGCCCTATCCCAGGGACTATTACCTTCCAAAACGAATGGAGATTATCGCCTCCAAACGCTCCATTCGTGCAAAAAAATGAAGCACTAGGACAATAGGGGGACGTTACAGGTGGAGTTTAACCATGAATATTTTCCAATGGCACACCAATTGCTCATGTGAAACCTAACTGTTGAATTGTCTCTTTCAGGGCTTGTTCCAAGTGGAAAACTGAAGCTGTTAAAAAGTTCTTCTGTTGTTTTGGAAAATCAAATCAGGTGTGTAATAATGTTTTTGTGAATGAGCAGTTATTTCAAACCAGCTGTACATTTGCACAATAGGGACCATCAGAAAAGATGTTGTTTAGAATATGTATGTGTGGTTAGTTTATCAGGCACACTCTTTGCAATCACATCATCATGCTGACATCCACAGCAAGTTTTTCCCAAGCCACAACTTGAAATCAAACCACAGTTAAGAAGCCATTTTTTAAGTGTCGAGGGAATTCCCCAACACTGTTTTTTAGATTTTAAATTATCGGTATGTTGTAAGTTTCAGCATTATATATGTGTTCTGTGAACTTTAAACTTGGTAATGACATGAAGCTGGTTTCGACATGTACATATTTGTATGACACTAGAAGGATGCTGTGCACCCGCTAACTGGGTGGAGTCGTCTTACGTTGACCTCAATTTGCATGTTGACCCCAAGTGGGTGTGGTAAACCTTGGTGAAGCAATTTTGCCACATTTTTCATCATGAACATTAATTTTTGCATAATAGCAATATGTTTTGGGGTCTTATCATAGAGATAATGTTGTAATATTTAACTATTCAAAGTCTCCAAGAAACAAATTTGCCCAAAAAGCAAAACAAAGCAACTAAATCTTTTTTTTTCACAAGCCAATTGTTACTTCAGAGGACAGTGAAATCGGAGTGTATATATATATATTTTCCATCAGAGGAACCATTGATAGTATATAACCAAGCCTCTCAATTAACAATTGCATTTTGTGTTTCTACACACTTATTAGGCCTTTAAAAAAAGACACAGACATCAGGCAGGCAGACAAACATCAGACAGACAGACAACATAGGATATTTTAATATATGATGATAAGGTTATGAGAAACTAGGACAGTTTCAGCTTTACATCATAATGAACGTGAGATCCTTTTAAATGTCGATGTTTTGTACTACTTGGACAAAATGTCATTGTCCCACACATAATGGCATTACGGTGCATACTGAAATTATGAATATTATGCATGATTTAATCAAATTAGGTTAAAAACACATCTATCTTTGATGTGCCAATTGGAGGTGCCCTTCAAAGTGAAGATGTCAACATTTACTGACTGTGAAGCAGAAATTTGTTGTCCTGATTAAGGGGCCGTGTTTATCATTGGTTTTAAATACTTTAAAACCACTGAGGTGACTTGGAATGGGTAAACTATCACAGGTATTTATAAATCATATTTTGTTCTTATATGCAGGGACATGCCACCAGCTCAACGAGCCAAGAACATGAAGTTTTCTTTGAAAGATCCAACCCAATTCTTTATCGCAACAGATTCAGTAAGAACTCTTTAAACTTTGAATCATTTTAAATGATATTGTTTTACATGTACTGATATCATCTAAGAGGAAATAGACCAGAATGTTCAGAATTGCTTTCTAAGGTTCTCCAAAATAGTCCAAATGACAGGAGATACCCCATCGGGAACTCAGGTGATCCAAATGTTTTATATGTTTTCTTTACTCAACTTACCTGTAGAGCCACTACATTTACATATTCCTCTTTACCTGCTGGTTCCTTTTCTTGAGTTTTCACAATAGCACTCCTATATGACAACCCATACTGCCTTGCTGCATGTCTGACATCTTGGCTTCTTTCCTCTTTTCTCATAGTGACTGTGCAGATAATAAAACTTTGTACGGATAAGTTTTTTGTCCAAATAAAAAATAAACTTGTTATATTCTTTGGTTCGAGTCATGGAGTTAAAAAAAATGTTGCGTTAGAAGGGTGTTTCGATAACAACATCTGTCTCTTCATTGTTGAGTCTGGCAGAGAGTATGGCTGTCCTTCCCAGCAGAATTTTTCCCAATGCCCAGTGTCTGATTTTAATGGCCACTGGAGACCCTGCAAGCTGGGAACAGGACTTTTTGCCAGCTCCCTGCCCGAGCCAATGCTGTCAAATAATTCCATTGGATTTGAAGAAATCTGAGACAACCAAAATATATCCAAGGTCAAAGTTCCAAGATTATCAATACACTCAAGTGATGATTGTCAATTAATTCAACTAGACTTGAGAATTGGAGACACCAAAGGCTATAATTGCACAAATCCTGAAACTGAACCACTAAAAACACTCCTGCTGTTTCACAGACAAATTGATCCAGCTTGCTCAAAAACAAATTGATCCCGCTTGCTCAAAGTGCTGTGACAGAATGACACACACAATGCATGTGCTTGCATTGTTCCACTGTTGCATATCATTAGTGCTTCAATCTTTTGTCTGATTGATCAAAACTCTTCGCTGTGATTGGTTAATTTTTTTTGCTGTGATTGAATGATTAGTGCTAGGCACAGGCGTAGCCAGGAATTTGGAGCAGGGGGGGCCAAGTCCGACCGGCCTGTACAAACCCCCGCCCCACCAGGGGCGGAACTAGGATTGTCCAAAAAGGGTGTGTGTGAAATGTAACCATGGAGGAAGGTTAATTCCTTCCTCCATGATGTAACCAGCAGCAAGTGATGAAGGCAAGTTGTGTTGCCTACACCGAAGGCCAAAGAAGGGGGTGACGAAAAGTAATGCGTGGCGTGGGGTCAGGGGCCCGCTTAAGGGCCCCGGAAAATTTTGGATTCTAGATGTTCTACATGGTGCGATCTCAGGCAATATCTAACCACTTTAACCAATTTATTTCGTAAAAGATCATCATTTAAACATCGAGTTTGGAGTCATTGAATCAGCTATCCTGAAAACTCTAAAATCAAACTGTACTTTACAAGATGTATTCGGGGATGAAAAAAGTGGGTGGGACAAACGATACGATACCCCAACTTTTAGCAGGGGCGTGAATCGCTTCTCAAAAGTGGGGGGACATACCTGGATCAGAACTAATGCGAGCGCGAAGCGCGAAGCCCTTACTGCGTGGGGTTCGGGGCCCCGAAAAAATTGGATTCTAGATGCTCTGTGGTGTGATCTGAAGCCATTTCTGACCACTTTAACCAATATTTTCTTAGCAAAAGAAAATAATTTGAACATCGTTTTCGCGGTTGGAGTCATTGAATCAGCTATTCTGAGCTAGGCTTTGGGTCGCGGCCCCCCAAAAAGTTTGATTCTGTAGATGCTCTGTGCTGCGATCTGCGGCAATTTACTTTAACCAGTATTTTCTTAGCGAAAGATTATAATATTATTTAAACATTATTTTCGAGGTTGAAGTCATTGAATAAGCTAGGCCTATTATATTCTCAGCTAAAGGCGTTGGGTTCGGGGCCCGCTGAAGGGCCCCGAAAAAAAAGAAAGATTCTAGATGCTCTGTGGTGCGATCTGAGGCAATTTCTGCCTACTTTAACCAATATTTTCTTTGCAAAAGATAATAATTTAAACATCATTTTCGAGGTTGAAGTCATTGAGTAAGCTATTTTCAGCTAAAGGTGTGGGGTTCGGGGGCCCGCTTATTAAGGGCCCCCAAAAAATTTTGATTCTAAATGCTCTGTGGTGCCATCTTATGCATTTTCTGACCACTTTACCCATTATTTTCTTAGCAAAAGATACACTGCATATAATAATAGGGCCCTGTAAATGAGACACTAGTTCAAAAATCTGGGGGGGGGGGACATTTGATATTGTGTCCCCCACCCTTCAAAAAGTTGGGGGGGGGATGTCCCCCTGTCCCCCTCCCAGGATTGACGCCAATGACTTTTAGACATGTGCAATGTTCAAGGACATGTCTCCCCCCCCCCCCCCCTCGATTGACACCCATTCCAAAGGCTTGTCCGCCGTGCGTCCTGCATGCTATAGAGAGGGCTGGGTGCATTTTCCTGTGTAATGTACAACATATTAGCATAGGTTTCGTCGCCACGCGATGTCTTGTCGCAGTTCTTGATCCTGTCGCTTTTTTATTTTCGTAAGGCTAAAAGTATGACAGACCCCCTATTGTCTTGTGTGCAACTAATCCTAGTAGGCTACGGTCTGACGTGAACTGCCGTATTAATAATTGTGTCTCTACCTTCCCTTTCTTCTCTGTTTGGGTCTCTCTCCCTCTCTACATCTTGCTTTTATTTTTTGAAGGGAAAAAAAGGTGCCCCACGCCCCACACCCCCCAGATCACCAGCGAACATCTTGTTGCCTGCTTTGGAAATGTCTAGTGGACTTTGTTAATTGGGGAAATACATTTTTCTTTTGCCTTCGGCAAAGTAAAAAAACAAAAACATGTTTCTCGTACCCACCCGCTTCCTTTTTGGTGGCCGCCTGGATTTTTTTATTATTTTTTACTTTTGAAAAAATTCAGTAAACAAACACCAAACACTAGTCCACCAACTCATAGGAAAATAAATACCAATACCAAATACAACTCTAAATGACACTGTAAATATGTTCAGTTCTCTTGTCCGACTTGTCTTTCTTTTTAAAAGTGTCTTTGAACTTTGGAAACACCAATGGTTGCAGGAAATTTTAAAATGGCGGCCATCTTGAAAAAAATAAAAAATAAAAAGCCCCTTTTCCTCCTTTTTTTCAAAAACCTGGACGAGAAACATGTTTTTCTTCTTATTCGACCTTATATGTTTTTGATATTCCTTTGTTTTGCCTGAGTTTACATCGTATACAGTATAAGAATTTTTCATTGTATTCAACTTGGTCAAGAACCTGTTTAATACGGCATGGGGTCCGGGGCCCCGCTTAAGGGCCCCTGGAAATTTTTGATCCTACATGCTCTGTGGTGCAATCTGAGGCCATTTCTGGCCCCATTACATGATTTTCGGACAATCCTTGAAATACACATACTCGTATTTCGTACTCGTACTCGTAATTAACGTCGGGTTTTGGTAAAATGTCATTTTTTTTTTTACAGCAGGGGGGGCCATGGCCCCCCTTGGCCCCCCCCCCTCCCCCCCCCTTGGCTACGCCTATGGTGCTAGGATCCTTCTCAGGATCCCAACTTTTGAAATACCCAAAGTTTGTAAGTGTTTTAATTCCACAGAGGGGGGCAGATTGAGTGTATATATGAGCAAATATGCCAACAATTATGAAAGCTGTCGGAGACAGCATAATAAACTACATGTACAGGACAGTGTAACTGAGAAGCAGCAGACCCGTGTTTGCCAAGTATAAAGGATTTTGTCAAAATACATGCATTGTGACAAAATCTGGCTTATTGGCTTATTATCTATACTTATGTTTTTTAATATAAAACGATTTTAAAACTAAACAATTTCTAACTTGATGACTATATACCCACACCCATGTTGTTGACAATATGTCCTTTTTCACTGCTGATATAAAAAGTCAGTTTGTTGAGTACCGTAATTTTCGGAATATAAGCCACGGCTTATACGTTGAATTTGCCCGTGAAAATGTTTACTGCTGCTTATACACAGGGCGGCTTATACACCGAGCCTTGAAGAATAAAAATGAGATTCAAATGTGTATTTATGTACTGGTATAAGAAAAGATCTGTTGCTGAAAATGAATTATCAATCGTTACCGGACTTGAGGTACCGGAGAGTCATTAACAATAAGTAGAAGTACGTCCCAAAAATGTACCAAAAGTGTGGCCTGCTGGCCAGCCATGCGTGAGTACGAGTAAAAGCCGTCTCCGTTGCATGCTGTACATTGATGTGTGGCCCACACCATTTGTGGTAATAAAGGGGTGTACTTTTTCGGTAACAATAATTACCGATATTTTTCCGCTGTTTAAAAAAACAAGACAACATATACCTTTATGGAGTTTTTATGGATTCTTTATTGGACAATCAGTTGTTCAACGTCAAAACATAATTTTTTTCTGAAAATGTATTCAAGAAACGATGTAAATCGCAAAACAGGGGCTAAATCACCCCTCCCTAAATTAATGGATTCGTCCATAAGGAAGCCTGCATCGTGTTGATGGTTTTTGAAGAAAGTACGGTCGAAAACTGGATTTTTTTTATGTTACTACAGTCGTTAGTAATCACAACAATTTGATAAGTTTTGTTGTAAAAAAGGACCTATTTATTCTTAGGACAAAACAAATCAGCATCTGTTGCCACAAAACAAGATTTGTAGTGCTCCAGTCAGACAACACACTGTGGGTTGCATACTCCGAGTGATGCGGGAAAATGTTGTCATTCGCTGACTCACGTGCTGCCGGGCCATGCCCTAACTTTTAGGCAGGGGACCAGCCAGGCAAGCCAGCAGCAATTCCCGGTGTTTATTTCTCATCGTCAATTTCCATATGTTTTTTAACGAGCATCGACCGTAATGTTTTGATATAACTTGTGTGGCCCTCTTTATAGCTTTCGTAGCGTATATGGAACTGGTCCAGAGCATTGAAACCGCTGCGGTCTGTGCGGCTTATACGCCGGTGCGGCTAAT